GATTACATACTATATAAAACATACTTTTTAAATGTAATAAAGTAACTACCGTATTGTCCCGAATATAAGACGATGTTTTTTTCTTGGAAATACATCTGAAAAAACGCGGTCGTCTTATATTCAGGGTCTAGACTTTGATTATAATCAGGGTCGTCTTATATTCGGGCCAATACGGTACTTATTCAAAAAAAAAAGTACCTATACACAGACAGAATGTGATTTCAACCACAGCCAGTCATTCGCGTCATTCCTGAAAAAAAAAAAGATTGCGTGAATCATTCAATGACTCACTCATTGCTACTACATAACTGGCTGTTTTAATTTCATATTTAAAAAATCACCATTGAAAATGCACAGTGTTGCATTTTTCATTGTGACTTAAGTGTCCAAAATACATAACAGTATGCCTCATGTGAGGTGATCAGTCTTCCAATGCTAATGGAATTGATGAATAATAAACAGATTCATAAAGTATTGCATCTGCAGTAGCTTGCAATTTTGTGTTAAATAAAAATGGTATAAAATGATTCTATTCCATCAGTATTAATTAACTGGTAACTAATTAGCTCAAAATTAAGGCTACATATTTGATTACCAATAAATGAAATGATCATTATTGGGTGATTTTGATGTACTTGAATGACACCTCAGGAAAAATAGTGAGAATATTTTTTTTTAAAACACCGCGAAAAATTAATGGATGCACAGAAATAAGATTATTTACATATTTATGTGTTTTCTTACCATCTGGTGTTTAGTTGTGATGTCTGGTTGGGACTCCTAAGCATAAAATGCACATTTAACACCAGTCTCTCAGTTAGCTATAATGAACTGCAACAAGGGCTGGTGGCTGAGCAGCATATGAAAGATACTTTTCAGAGCTTTTCAGCATCCATCCCTTATAAAAGCAGGGGAACCTGCAGCAGTCTGTGTCATAGCCCTAGGGGTAGATCTAGGAGGGGGACCCACAGACAGTCACAGCTCCCCTTCCAGCTAAGGCAAATCCCAGTGGGACTCTAAATCCTGTTTCACTGTTAGCTCACGACAGATCCCTCCATACAGACAAGTGGGGGCAACAGGACCAGCATGCACTTCAACCTGTCTCTAACCAATACAGTCTCCAACCATGAATAATTCACACCATACGGAAGCCATTGACCCCCAAACCCAATGAACTTAATGCTCACTTAATTTTATTTTATTACTCACAATTGAGAGGAGAGAAAACAAATGGTGTGAAAAAGGAGCCCAGTGAATCTGGCAGCTGCAGGCCTGCAGAACAAAACAACATCCCAGAATAGCCCCAGGCATGACTTGAGTAGCTAAATGGGTTTTTATTATTGATATTTTAAACTTTTGTCAAGAATGAGGTATAAATTCATAAGCATAGAGATTATCAATGATCCGTTTTTTTATTCATACTGTTCTGACCATGAACAATTTAACATTGCAGCTTTAACTGCAATGAAAAAAAATGGTGTATAAATAATTTTCACTCAGAAATTGCTAGTAAATTTCACAAACAACTACAAAGAAATAGCAACATATTAAATTAAATGTGAAATTTTGAAGTAGAAAAACAGAAACAGTAAAAATGTAGTCCAATTATGTTTATTTACACCTTTGATTTTCTATTATTATTATCATTTATTTTTATTTAATTTTTCTACATTGTATCCACTTGTTTTACTTTTCATTTCATCAATTTAATGAACTTTGTAAAAATCTTTTTTATGTTGTGCTTATATATATAAAATGTGATTATATGCATTATAGAACTATAGAATACATTATAGAATTTGTGTTAGTGTTGGTACATTTTTGTGCTCTTGTGCAGATAGTAGTAGATTATAAATAGCCTATTATATAACTAAAGTAATACAACAATCCAAATTATATTTAATTACCATCTCTTTCATCACAAATATTTAGTTTACTTTTATAATAAATTAGTTGACAAACTAATTTATCCAATTCCATGTCATAACTGTACACAATAATTCCTCGCTTTATTTAATTAAATACGCAGATTAGCCAAACGCACTCCTTGGTGCGCGTCCTAAATGCAACATTTTAACAGGCAACAGTTCGCTTGCGCTTAAAAAAGAACACCTCTTGAGGGCAGTGTCCATCTCCTCCGCGGAGGTCAAAGTTATTTGTCGGTCTCCAGTCGAGAGTACAAATGAGGATGAGCTTCCCTGAGCAGAAGCGCTCACTGGCTGATAAAGAGATCGCAGGTGCTTCGCCATGGGAACTACCGTGACTTATTGTCGATTTTCACTACAAAAAAGTAATAAACAATTTAATGTTTAATTCAGTCATTTTCAATAATTATAAAACGCCATATGCAGCATGCCCGCATCAAAACCACGAATGAGATCTTTTAATATCTAAACTGTTTCTGCAATGACATTAAACGGAGAACAGAAGAGGTTTCAGATCTCAACCATGTCTCAAATTGTGCTTATGTACCATGCGCTCTTAAAACGAACTCGAAACATTTCTCATCGAATTCTTTAGAATGAGACCAGGTCTCATTTGTTTCTATTTGTACCCCCTAATTAATTTAGGAGAACTATCTCCTGTGCTATGACATGAGCAACCTCTGTGCAATAAAACGATCTTCTTGTGGGGGTTTTATAGCCTAACAAATCCCCAAGGAGACTCTAATGGCTGTAATTGATGTTATCAAAATAAAGCAAAATGTCTTGATATTAAGTCCGCTTTACATTATAATAACATCATCAAGCCATTTGGTAATTATTGACTAGGAAAAAACAAGGTCTGGTGGGGCACGGGTGGTGGGTATGGAAGCTACTCTCCAATTAGTTAATGGTGAGCGCCTGGCATGCGGTGTCGAGGAAAATGAAAGGCTTAATCCCCCTATCTCACCATTCCTCTTTCACTCCCTATCGGATAACAGGCTCTTGTCCGTGTGACTCTGTACCTGCCGCTTGTTTAAGGGTTTAATTGCTCCTAATTTGTCCGGCAAAGACCTGCTATTACGGTGCTGCAAAGTTGCAACCAAATTATACCCCTTATGTGAGTCGAGTGGTGATTCCAGTGGAGTGAGGTTTGGTGGGAGGGATGGATGGACGAGGGTCCCTCGTCATTTTCCAGAAAATAAAACACATGGCTGGGCCTATACAGTCCATTACCAGGCTCGAGGCTTGGTTCTGAACGCAAGAGCTTTCTATTAAGCGAGCCGGCTCGGTTCCGGGGATATACAGAAAGAGGGCAAGAATAATTGTTGCATTTGTCAAGAACCATCAGTGTTAGTGAGTATACGTATGGCCTGTACATACGTCTGAGTAGCTACGGTCCAATAAACTGCACAGTTGCACGATCTGGTGTTTTGGTTGCCTCCATCATCCATCCATATATCCATCCATCCGTGGCGCGCATTTAGCGCTTGTCAACGCTTTCACTGAAAGCGTGGTTTGTAAATCTGTCATTCAGATTTTTTTTAGTAGGCTAGACTATTCTAGTGTTAAAAAGTAAACTACGACTGTCCGTGAAAGAATTAAAATGACGTTAAAAACGCCGATTATATAGGCTAACTAACATTTCGGATAATGTTTACATTTATCCTAACCAGCAGGTAAACGCAACATTTTTGTTGTCATGAGAATGATGTATATGAATGTATGTATAGCTACTGAAATTCAATTTATTTTAGTGACGTTTGTTTCTGTTTTAATTGTCTGTTATGTAACATTCAGTGTCTATGTAATGTGTTAATAGCTATCGAACTTTAAAATATATTCCAAATAGAACGTTAAACGCACGTTTCGCTGTTTACTCACACATTAGTATCTCCTTTTCCTTTGAACATCTTGTTTAGCAAACCTAAAGTGAAAGAAAATGTTTTCCTATTACTTAATTCAACCAGGGCGCGGCGGGCAGGGGCTTTCACTCGCTGTGCATTCGGGCCCTCACTGACAGAGTCGGCTTTGTGCCACTTTGTCCGCCGCTGTCACACACTTTAATTCGAGCCTTTCTCTCTCGCATTGAAAACTCTCCACAATGACATTCAATAAGGGCTGGGAGAGTGAAAACCTGGTTATTTTTATATATTCCTTCCCGGACTCTGCGGGGGCCAGCGCGAAGGAATTAATCACTGTTTTTTAACCTCATCGCTTTGAGGTTGTGACGCGACGCGTCTTTCTTCTTCTTCTTTTTTTAGCTAGTGGAAATGATACATTTCCCTCAGAATGGATATACACCCTTAGAACTCATATTTAAAAGAAATCCTATTGTAACAATATGGTTAAATACTAATTGTAAAATAATAATAATAGGTTAATAATAATAATAATATTAATAATAATAATAAATAATATATTTTCTGTTGTGCGCATCCAAAACAGAGATTTGCATGTAGGCTATTGTAATTTGATTTAGGCTATAACTGTAATGATGAAATAAGTATTGTAATGTAATGTTGTCCTGCATATAGGTAGGCTATAGGTAAAACAATGAAAACGGACATAGACTTAAAGGGGGGAAAATAAATAAACCCTAAATATAAAAATATCACAAGAACGATATCTGAAGTAAAAATTTTGGTTCGAGAAGGCAAAGAGCAAAGAGTCCCTGCAAAAACAAAACGTTTATCAGATATTGACAGCCGTGTTCTTTCTTAACTAAATATTATGTCAGTATCTTAAACAGGCTACTATAATGCAATCCTATTTCTGAAACCCTCTCTCAGAAACAAGTCGTTTAATGGTTATAATAGTTAATGATGGTCTGAGCTGCAGGTGGAACTGGGCAGATGAGCCTGGTGACATACGTTATATGCACCGAATGTCTAATGAGTTCACGCAGAACAAACGACGAAGCTCTTTGAATGAAATTAATTAAAAGAGCAATAGTGTCCATGTGATCGCGTGAGAAAGAAAATAAAGTTTAAAACGACACTAAAGAGTAATAGTATAAAAGGAGTGGACATTTTAAAAGGGAGAAGGGGCAGTGCCGCCTCTTGCAGTGTGGGTGGGGCTGACAAGAATAGACTACATTATGCAGTTCATTTAGTTAACAAGTGAAATAATAGGGAAGCGTGCAGAGTGAATGCCGAGAGAAAAGGCACAAAACCCTATTGAGAGCTCTCAGCCGCTAGTAGCGTAACCGTCACATGGGCGCACTGGCTCTCCAACTATTTAAGCAGGAACAGTTTCTCTTCAGCACCATTCCGCCATCCAGCCTTTGGTACACATCCTGGTACGAGACTGACAAAGAGAAACTTTTACGAACTCTCAGACATTAGGTGAAGAAACACAGGGCAGCCAAGATGCCAAGATCGTTTCTTGTGGATTCCTTGATTTTGAGGGAGAACAGCGAAAAAGGAGCCGAGAACAGCCCGCCGTTATTTCCTTACGCCATGCATCCGTCTCATCCTCTCCACGGTCTCTCCGCCGGCTCATGCCACTCTCGAAAAGCGGGGTTGCTGTGCTTTTGCCCGCTGTGCGTCACGTCTCAGCTTCACCCGTCGCCTCCAGCTCTCCCACTCATCAAGGCTTCCTTTCCTGCCTTCGGCTCCCAATACTGTCACACGGCGCTATCCAGACAGCACTCCACGTCTAGCGGCATAAACCTCAACGTCGGCTCGGGGTTATACCAAGCCACATACCCAGTTCCAGATCCACGACAGTTCCACTGCATATCCATAGGTAAGTAGGTTGTGACTGACGTCAGTCACCATAAAAAGTCTACTTTCGTAACTTCATTTCTGTTTAAATGTCACCCGTATCAACAAATGTAATTGAACTCTTTTTTTTGTCTCTTCTACAGAGAATAACAGCAGTCATCTTCAGAGCAGCAAGCGCATGCGCACTGCGTTCACCAGTACGCAGCTCCTGGAGTTGGAAAGGGAGTTCACATCCAACATGTACCTGTCCAGACTTCGGCGCATAGAGATCGCGACTTACCTCAATCTGTCCGAGAAGCAAGTCAAGATCTGGTTCCAGAACCGCCGCGTCAAGCACAAAAAAGAAGGCAAAAGCGGCTCCCACAGGACGGGCTCGCACAACTGCAAGTGCTCGTCGTCCCTGTCCTCCGCCCGGTGCTCTGAGGAAGAAGATGACCTCCCCATGTCACCTCCGACATCAGAAAAAGAGGACGCAGATCTGTCCGTAAGCCCATGAACTCTAGCGCATTGCTCATGACCACCACCTCAAAAGACTCTGTACGCCACACCTGTGGAATCTTGAATGCAGCCAAAAAGCGACGGTCTCTGCGTGCGCCGTCACCTGTAAATAGCGAGAAAGAAAAAAAAAACTTTATATATGTTCGGGGTCTGCGTATCCCTTTAATGTTGTATATTTGTATACATGTTCTATGTTTGTAGTTTTTTCTGAAAACAACTTAAGCCCATAGTTCCGCATCCAAATTCATTTCCTGTCACCAAAAGTTTTTTTTAAATCTGTGTTATCAACGGTCCAAAATTAATTTGTACTTTTTTTTAAAGATATTCAGTTGTTTTGTTTGTATGGGTGGTACAGGGTAGCTTTAAGCACATTTTTGGGACGGAATAAAAAAATATGGGCGGTATCCGATGTAATGGCAGAATTTGTTATTGTACTTTTATTGTAATGAGAATATTTATTTATTTAAAAAACCTTAATGCTGAAAATAAAGAATATTTCTTAGTGACAAAATGTCTAATTTCAGTTGGTTTTAACCATTACACCTGTCATACTGATTTTTTTATGTTAGAAAGCAGCAAAAGCCACAAATTACGTTCTCTTTTTACCTTTAATAAGACTTCTAAGAGTCTTCCAATGTTATGAGGCTTAATTTAAGGTTTGATTGCCTGTGCATGCAGCACAATTGTTATAGTTCTTCTGAAGCATTTTGTAATATTCCGCTTAAAACTTTCTCTAACATGTTATTCGAAAGAGCGCACTGCTAAAATAGAGGATGAACATTCTGGAAAGGATGCAAAAGATGCACAAGTTCTGCGCATCAGCATATGCTCAATCATGACTGCAAGAATAAGAAACACTTTATAAATACGATGGGATCACGTTGCTATAATAATTATTGTCCAATAAGAGGTTTAATATTCTGCATTTTCATATTAATGTGTATTATATATAAGACGTATCTCTACACAAAGTTTTCCCCAAGGGTAAACCTTAAGGCGTAATTGAATAAAACTCACCAAGATGACCAGCGCGTGTTAAGCGCGCGCCAACTCATTTTAATAAACATAAGGTCTTTAAATGGATGAAACAGGAATGTCTGTGACCGTCTGTAAAAGATCACTATAGGATGTCTGTTTAAGTAAAGATAACAACTGATAAAAGACAGATATAACTTTATACAAAATCCTGACTTTTAAAACACTCTAGTTTGGGAACGCTGAGAGTGTACGCTTATCTAAATCACAGATTCTCCGTGCCTCTATATTTACAACTCAAGTGCATCGGTATAGATCTCCGTCAAGAAGTCCAAAGAAACGCGTATTCATCGGGTTCCCTGTGGCATTCCCTGGGGACGCAGCTGAAAGCGCCTGGTGTCCCCCAGGCGCGGGGCCTCTCCGTTAAACACTGAGCCATTTAGCGCACGGTTCTTAACAGTCTCGTGAGAGCGGGTTAATAAAACCCAAAGTAGTGTATTAATACACAGACAATAATGCGCAAATGAATAAAATATGCGAGTCAACGAGACAGATTAATCGATGTTTGTATTTAAATTTATTTAAAGGGGTCTAGACGGACACTTGGTGATGATGGAGATTATTGTGTTTGGATGTTGCGTTTGTGATCGGTGCTATAAGCAAAAATAATTATTTTATTATGTGTATTTCAGAAAAACAAAAATTTGTGCGTCTATTATATGAATTGATCATTTACTAAATAATTAATTAGTTCATACAATATAACTTTTTTTGCTCAATGTCTCCTAAATGAACTGTCATTCCAGTCGACTTTAGAAACTGATTCATTTAATAATTTAGAAACATGCGTGTGCTCTGTGGGGGAAAAAATACACGCTATTTTATTTACGCGAAAAGGGCATTCCAGCCATTCCACGCTTTTTTATTTTTCATCTTCTTTTGCGCACCAGAACTGGAGCTCAGATTACATTTTTAGTTACGCACTACCACATTGTGGGATGCAGGTCTCGACGCGCCCTACTCCATTAACATGGCGCTTTAAATCTTCATTGAAATCATTGAAATTGATTTTAAATGTTGTTTCCTTTGCTGGGAATTTATCACCAGCCATCGGTGTCAACAAAGGACATGGTAAGATCAGCACATTTACTAAATTATTCCAGTCATTGTGTCCTCGGGATACTGCCCTGCTCTTGGAAACGCTCGTTTAATTGTTCACTTAAACATTTTAACAAAACTCTAATATTTGCATTTGTGAAGATATAGGATTAGGCCATTTTGTTAATTACACCATACAGTCTCATTTTGCACCGTGCGTCCTCTGCAAAGCGCCCTTTATCCATTCAATAGCCCGGGGGTACGCGCCCTGGGGGAGTTTTAAGCCTGGTGCTCAAAATTCTCAATTTATTTATTCTTAATTTTGCGCCGATCAATTCATTGAAGCAAAAAGGGCTACAGTGTCTTTTTAGGGGAAGAAAAGCGAATTGTTGACGTGACCCTGACAGGGGCTGCTGAGAGGGCTTGCCTGACGCTCGAGGGCCGCTTGAGTCAACAGACCCCCATCTAGCAGACTCGCCCTTGTCTTTCTTCCAGCTAATTTTTCATTTACGGCTTTTCTTAGACTTGTCTCTTATCTATCAGATTAAAAGAGCAGCTTGTAACAAATCAGTCTGCCTGATTTACAAGAGCATTAAAAGCGGACAAAAGAGGCAGGCCGTCAGTACCTGAGTCTGGTAGACGGTGAGGCGCTGCAGCTGATTCGATGAGTTGAAAATGCGCACGAAACAAAATACTTGAATCCTGAAAAAGAGCCTTTGTATGTTTCTTTAGAAATCAAGCAATTCTGCATGACAAAGGACAATTAATAAGCCGTCTTTTCACGACCAGCAGCTGGTTTCCCTGTCAAGGAAAGTTGGAAAAAATTCGGACTGAATGCGCGCAAAAGCCCTTTGCGCGCAGACAGCTACCCAAGGTGACCCATTTGGCACAGTTAAAATAAGCAGGCTGAGGCAAAAGCGAGGGAACTGTCAAAAACATTTAAGCTGGAATATCTTGAAATTGCAAATCCCTTTATGTGGAGGGACGCTGCCGATCTGGTTTAGACGTACAATGGAGGTGGTTAAGTTGGAGAGGCTTTGGAAACGGACACGTGGCCTCTCAATGAGAGCTTCTTGGGAATCGCGTGGCTCGCAGCGCGTCTACAAACTTTAAACGAGATTTAAACTTGATATTTTCCCAGATTCTAAAAGAACGATTTAGTTACAGATGGACTTAAAGATGATACGATAATAAAAATAAATAAATATACTATATTAACTTTAAAAAATGTAAATTTACTTATTAATCAGCATGTGGCAGTGACCCGCTGTAGCTTCTCCCTTTATGAGTTTCTTCGAAAAATAAAAACAAATATGTATATATTTTGTACAAGTTCAGACTCAAACTCACATAAAGTTAAGAATTCAAGCGAAACACTACATTTTAATTAAACATCAGTTATAGTTTCCATTCTTTATGTAGGTGTATAATATGTTAATAATGGACCTGAGTAGGATTTTCCTACTCTGGAAATCTGTCAGTTTTTGGATACGTTTTGTGTAGATAAACAGATTTGGAAAGTTGTAATTTTTTTTTTTACGGTAGCATGTCTCACAAAAGACTTGTCATATAGTGTTTTTGGCAATAAACAGCATTTCTTTTTCTCCACCGCTTGGTAACTGTGGAAATCACCAATGCTGTTTTTCTTCTTCTTCTTCTTCTTCTTCTTCTTCTTCAAACTTTTGAAGAAATCTGCTTTTGAACTACGTGTGATATTCCTATACCTTTGAAATAAAGTTTAAAATAGAGCGGGCATAAATTATGATTATTTGTCCCTATCCAGTAAGGAAATTCAATAGCATCCAACTGACCTTGTAAGAGCAGCTTACCAGCACTTTATCTTTTACCCAAGTTTGCGCATACAGAAAAAGGAAAACAACCTCAGGAAACATCTAATAAAATATGTCTTACTCAATATGGTATCGCAACTACACTTCTCACAAAGAGAGAAAAGTGTGACAGACTTAACACAGGCCTAAGTATTTGATACCTAAAATGAATTCAGTGTTTGTAAGTGAGCGTTTTAACTCAGTATCACACAGTTTGATGTTGTTCATGCAGAATTTAATCACTCCATACCACAGAGACAATGCGAGGGAGAGCGACTGCTATTCGAATATGCACCTGCAATGTCAAGGGGTCGAGAAATAATGAACAGGGCTGACTTAGAACTGCGCTTTCAAGTGTTAACTCTTGTAAACTGATATAAAGAGACAAGACATACAATAATGCTTAAAAAAACACACTCGCGTATCCGCCTGTATGTTTTCAGCGGCGCTGTCCAAACTTTCACAGCCTTCTAAATTCTCTTTTTGATTGAATTTTGCACAGTTAAACAGTTCCAGCCACCTCCTACCCCCGGTGCCATTGATGTCTTTCTGACCTGATAAAATGCGCTTGGCTGCCGTCAAATGGGCCAGCTTTGCCTGTTCACATTTAAATATGGGAATTAGTCATGAGCCCTGTCACAAGCAGCAGAAATTGCTAAATTGTTGGCCTCTTTTCAGCGACGAGAGCGCTGGGGTCTGCATTCATTAGATTGAATTTAGCGTCGAGGTGAGAGACCTCTGTGGCTGTCTTTTACCGGGATGTCATAACAAGGAATCGTTCTGGAAATGAGGGGGCGTGCGCAAAAGAGAAGAGGAGGGGATCGTCGTCACCGGTTGGAAGCGGCATCATTTCGGTTTGAAGCGGATTCTGTCATTTAGTTGAACAAATTAACTCACAAACACTTCTGAGGGTGGGCACAGTGTATTAGTGAGGCATGGAAACATAATTAATGTAGCTCATGTCACTTTCAAGAGCTTTTGATAGCCGACCGACAGTTGGATATCATCGACTAAATCACAGCAACCACATTTTTTATTACAAAATGTATATTCAAAATTGCAGAGCGCCACACACGGTTGGCCACTTCAGAAGTCTCGATCTCTCTCTCGATTACGCCCCCTTCTCTAGGCCTGAAGTTAACGTAGCAACTTTCAAAAACATACACTGATACGAGGTGTTCTTCAGTGTAACCTTCAAGGCCTTTTTGTCATTTTGTTGCA